CCCCCCCTTCCTTTTCTGTCCTATTGAACTGCCTTTATCTCAACCTGGGAATTTTACTTTTTTTTCCACGATTCTCTCCCCCATCCCACTGGGGGGCGGGTGGAGTGAGTGAATTGCTGTGTGGTGTTTAGCTGCCTGCCAGATTAAACCACAACATGTGGTGATAGCAGCTCCTTTCTCTGGGATTCTCAAAGCTTTTCAGAATAACTGGTCTCCTAGTGGAGAACAAAAAAGTAGGCGTTGTTTTTGCACCATTCTTATGTTTGGGGAAATGGGAACAGAAAGCTTATCAGATATTTAGATGTCCTAAACTGCAAACAGGCACATCAATATCTTGATCTGTCTGGTCCGTGATAGTTAAGTTTACCTAGAAAGACTAGCTCCTGACGCTTCTTCTGCAGCTTGAGACTGCATACTGAGATGATCCAACTGCTCAATATACCAAAAAAAAAAGCCTCATAGAAAGAGAATAGGTAGGAATAGAGAAGTAAGGGTTAGGGAGCTGAACTGGCTTACTGTGCAGGCAAGCACTGAGCTAGTGCGAAGGAAGAAGAGAGTGGGATGTTTTGGTAACATTTGGCCCTTTGATCACCTCCATCCTATGGCTAAGGTATAGCTTATGTGGCTGCACTCTTATGTTAAGAACCATTTTATTTTCTTGACTCCCTCTCTGTGACCCAGGACAGGTCCTTCCTTCCCATTTCTGGCAAGTGTTTCAACTATCTGCTATGTCTGTTGTGTTCTCATGTCTGGCTGAACAAGACGGGATTAATGAATGAATGTACAGCACTCACAGTGAGACCAGGTCTGGTGGCGGTGCTGGGAGAAAGTACTACGATATGACTAATCTTTAGATAACTGCATGCAAGTGGATAACATCTGAAAAAAATTTATTCTTCCATGTTTATTTTAAATCTCAGAAAAGGCAAATGCATGTCTCTCTCTTCTCTCTTGGCAGAACCAGCTCCTTGCGAAAGGCTTGCTGTTTATAGAGGAGAAGGTTAAGCTGTGTGAAGGCAAGTATAGTAAGAAACCCATTTTGGAAGGGAGTTGTGCTTTGAGGTTTGGTCAGACAAGATGATTTGCATGTCTGGAAAGTGTATAGCCCTTTCTGGTACTGGCTTAGGGCGTCACACAACCTCTCAGGAGGCAGGTTGCACTGCAGCCCTTGTGAGGCTTAAGGGGTGGCACGCTGTTTGAACAGCCATGTAGCTGCAACACTCCCACCAGCCACATCTTCACTGCGAGAGCAGGAACGTGGGTCTTGTGTGGCAGTTGAACCTGGGCTCAAAGCATTTCTGGGCTGGACATGGATCCTGTTGCAAAACTGCTAAGAGCTGCATTCTGCCTTTTATTTCTCAATGTGGTTTGCAGCTCAGTGTAAGCACGATTTTGGTTACTGTGTCATGCTTTTGAGAACTGAACTAACAAGCTTTGTGTAAATTTAAAGAAAAAACAGTCACTTGGGTGGGAATGAAATTCTTCATGAAAGAAGTTCTGTTCAAACCACTGGGGTACAGATGCTTGCTATCGCAGAGCCTGTGGACGAAGGCCACCGTGGTGCAGCAACTCAGTGCTGGATGTGTGGGGAGTTAGTCACGTTTATTAACAGTTTGCTCAAGCAGAGCGAGCTGTCTAGAGCACGTTTTTATTCAAAACTAGGCTGCTGTTTGATTTGACCCATTTTTGTAGCCTGTAGGGAAGATCCTTGCTAATCACCAACTGTATCTGGGTCATTAAATGCCAATAGACAATTATAATTACGCTTCATTGTTGGTGCTGGATTCCTCCGCACCATTCTTCACCAAGTGACTTCACCCGGCCAGCAGGCTGTAGGACTTGGACCCTGAAGGAGCTGTGCAGTTGCCAGCCTCCGGCTTGGTGCGTGCTTCTTCGGCACTGGCCTGTAAGGGAGGAAAAAAGGCAGACTCATGCATTTTCCCGAACGTGGGTACCTGCCCTGCTGCTGCCAGCTCTTCAAAACGAGTGCTGCACAGCTTATCATAGGTTTTGTTTCCATATTCATATAAAACTATTCCAATATCTGTTTTAGCATTATGAAAATTGAGTTCCAGTCTGTAATAAGCTGAGAGCTGCCCGGGAGTAGTTTGCAGCTGCTCAAGTAGTTTGGGCAAGATTAAGTTTCCCAGGCAGACAGCAAAACCCTCTTCCTAGGGTTTTTTTGTCCCTGGTTCGAAGTGACACTGGAGCCACTTTGCCTGTGCAGGCTGGCATCTGCAGGAGATGACTCATGGGCACCTTTCTTTCATAATGTGTAGGCTTGTTGCAGGTCTTGTCACAGCAACAAGAACTTCTTGTACCCGCTTCTCAGCTCTGTCTTCCTGGAAAATTTCTACTGTCCCAGTACTCAGAGATGGAATAATGTTCCT